ATAAAAATTCAAAATTCAAGCAACAAAATCTTAAAATCTGGAAAGAATATAGGTTAATAATTTTAAAAAAAAATCTGTATTTTCAAGCATACTTGAATAACAAGATCTTAAAATATTAGAAGCAATACAGATTAAATAATTTTTATTATTTTGCATGTTTAAGATTTTTTTTAAAAAAAATAATAATATATTTTTTATTTTTTTAATATTTTAAGCTGTACTTTAGATTACCAAATAATTATTTGAACCAACAAAATCTTAGAATATTGGGAAGAACATCAAACTAACAAAAAAAGAAAATATTGGATTTATAGTCACACTTTTATTATCAAATAACTCATTTTCCTTGTATTCTTGGTATATACATGTATTTTTTATTAATGTATCTTTTCTTTAAATTTAATAGAGATTTTGTGTGCTGTGTCTAAATTGATATGTTTGAAATGATGGTAAACGAACGAGATGACTTATAACGATATATGTAGTTGATTACATGCATAAATCAAATGTTAACGATGCAAAGATTTTCTATTGGCATGCTTTGTATTATGTTAAAAGAAACCTATGTATATTCATCTCTCAAAGCATAGCGATAGAAAATTTAACTCTTATACAGTCACAACCTCTTTAAAATCACATTTTTGCAGTTCCCGAATGTTATCAATCAAACAGTATTTTTTGTTCATAGTGATCTGAAAGAATGCGTGAGTGGTTAGGTTTTGGTTTATCTTCAAAGCTCTCTGCTTCTTCTTTCTCCTTGCAGACACGTAGAACTGAATCTGGGATTACTTGTTCTGATGCTGCGATTTCTCGGACCATGTATCTTCTTAGCAGAATGTGTATATGCAAGAACGTTTTGTGAGTGAAATTTGAGGCATCGGAATAAACAAGTTGTTAAATAGAGGAAAGTGTGTTAAATGTAATTAAAAAAATATAAGCTGTTTACATAAGCTTTTAAAGCCTTATATTGTTTCGATGGACAAGGATGCAGGAGAGATAACTTCAGTTGAAGAGGCTTGGTCATTAATATTCAACTTTGTTATTAGCATTTCGAGCATGCCATTGGCAAAAAAAATCAAAGATAAAAAATCTAAAGCGAGCACATATTCAGCGGTCAAAACATTAGAAGCTCACCGCAATTTGAGTCAGGTTGTGTTGGAACTCGCTGCCCGGATAATTATGTTAAACAACTTCTGGAAAAGCATGCAAACATGCACACACTCATCCTAATAGCCAAAGAGTTTTACACGAATTCAAAATAATTCTACCAGTTCTGCGTTCAAGAAATATATCAGTTTTGTCGTTCGAATAATCTTGCTAAATTATGGGGTTATTTATGGATGAACCGGTACAATGAAAAAAACTGGAAATTGCTCGATCTTTATACTTACTTGCTATGCCTTTTGCGCGTACCACAATGAGCACAGAGAACCATTGGTGAGTCCTCAAATGTAACTACAAGTTGTCCACACATAGATCGGCTCACCCGAGCAACTCATTCCCGACTTCGAAATTAAATTAACTTAGCATAATGGAAAACGAACTTTTCCACCATGGTGGTGTGAGTTTAAGGAGGAATGGGACAAGGCAGCAGCAGCTGATATCCAGCCAGACGTGGAGGAAAAATATCACATCGATACAAACAACTGGGTATATTCTTGCCCACAGTCACTATGGAAAACAATATTTACCTACATTTTTGGAGACAACACGACGAAATGACTATCCATTACTCGTTTTCGATAATAACAAGATCCCATATATTATTCCAGTAAATAATCCCTGGATCCGGTTTGGCATAACAGCGGCAGCAAACGATCCTGTCCAGTTCAAGCAATTTGCATAATATTATGAAGGAGTCAAGTTATGATGTGATGAAAGAAAATACGTTCATTACAAAAAAAAAGTTGATGCAGCATTAGCCTTGTATGAGCGGGAGTTAAGCAACGACAATTTTATAAATAACTTTTAAATGAAATTAATAATTGTGAAGAAGCATTACGAATTCGCCAACAACAAGGTACTTGGACGTCAGATAATGGGAAACTCGCGTTTTGGTTGCGTTGATCGAGTAGTAATAGACAAATAAAATTAAGTCATTTTATACATGATTTTTAAAATTGTAAAATAAATTATAGTATCCGAGAATTTTTCACTAAGGTATCGGAATATTATTGGTTGACTAGGTCACATTGAGATCGTTGGGTGGCGTCCAATAGAAATTCATCAAATCACGGGATCCTAGAATTTTAGCTAGGGCGCCTGTGTATTCGATATTTGTGATATCGATATCTTTAAATTGAGTTCTGAATGCCTCACATTCTTATCACAATATTATTATCATGCTTTGAGTATATTTTTACATTGTTATTATTATATTTATTATGCCATATCTTGATTTTACCCGGTGAAACAAGTTAATAGATAAATTTTTTTCAAAATATTGGGTTGTTGTCAACAGTTGCTAGGAAATAAATAATTTGAATAAAATGTATAAACACGCGTTCGTTAAAAGAGTGAACATGAACGCTAATGCGATATCGAGTTTCTGATTGGTTCGCAAGTTAAGCTAAAAAAATTCCATGCATAGCGATAGTAAATTTTATTGGAATACATGTACATGTAATTGATAAACTTCAAAAGTAGAAAAAATGATATTACTCTAAATACATATAAAAGAAGTAGATTTAATAAAATAGTTTGGTAAGGAAAAATAATGGTTAATAATAAATATAACGATAAATATATGTATAAACACAAAGAGAAACCGGTTTGGTTGTTGTGCTTTAACTCGAAACACAGTTAATTCATGTATCGGGATGTTTTTAGGCTATATCAGATTAAATTTGATTTAACGTAAAAGTAAGTATTTATCTAACAAAGAACAGCGTTCTTCTTTGATATTGTTTTTTTTATTGAAAGTATTTCGTAAATTTGTAGTTTTTCTTATTGTCCTATTAATTTCGTTACTGCATCGCTATTTATTTTTGGGAATGAAAATTAGTATGCCACATGAAATCTAATATTAAGTGTACGTTTTGCACAAACTGACACTTGTAAAAAATTTATGTGTAATATTAATTGATAAATTACCCGGCAACGAAATCAAGGGAAACATCGTGCTCTTTACCATATGAAGCGGAATTGCCAAGGTTGTCGTAAAAACAGATAGGATAAACAAAGCGATAAAGAAAAGCTTCATATTATGCATGATGATTATGTTAACGTTAAGCATTAAAATTTTGAAAAATGTTTGCGAGTAAGTAGGCTATTTACATAAGAATTGGTGTTAGATTCATAACTTACATGTAGTTCCTATTTATTTAACGATTACTGTTACTTTTTTTAGACAACTTCATACAGATTTTTATGACTAAAATATGCATGTTTTAAGAATTTATACAACTTTTATTTCTACATACATCAGTCGTGTCACTTATTTAATGGTCCAATTAATTTTTAAATGCAAGACTTCCAAAAAGTAACGCCTGGTCCAAAATTATATAATAAAACATATAAAAAATGTAAATTTAAAGTTATGTATACGTATTTTGATAATAATATTTCAAAATTTTAAAGCTAATTGATTGTATTTTTGAAAATAATAAAGACTAGTGGCAATTTGAAGTACTAGGAATGTTTTGATTGGAAAATAAAAAAATTTTTTCCCACGCTTTATATATGAAAATTGAAAATTATTATTAATAATTATTTCTAAATCTTATATCATTTTAAAGCTAATTAATTGTACTTTTGAGAACTGAACAAGAATTATGTCGCTTTTAAAATGAAAGAACTGTTTTAATAATAATATCAACGAAAAATTTTTTATAATGATTTTACTATATAATTTTAAATCGGGCGTTACTTTTTGGAGGTACTGTACATGCATACTACTGCCATTATTGTTATTGATTAAGTACAAAGACTAGAATACTTAGCTGAAAAATAATATCTTTTCTAATTATCGTTATTGTTATTTGAGGATAACAGAAATGATGAAAAAAATAAAATGACGAAAATGCTAGAATATATATCAAGTGTAATAAAAATGATAATAATAACAAGTTCCAAGCATTAAACAAAATAATAAAAATGAAAATTATTCAAGATATAATAATAATATTACAAATAAATAGAAAAAAATTTATGTGTAAAACTTGTCCGTTTCTTGGATTCATTAGCAAAGTTTGCACCATAGCTTTATTGAAATCAATTAATTGCTTTTAACACTTCCAAAAAATGGAATAACTATTGGATAATCATAATTAATGCAAATCTTCCACCAGAAATTCATGTTAAACAGAAAAACCTGATAATTGCTGTAATGTTTCTGGATCCTAAGGCTCCAAAGTACTTTAACTCGTTTTTTTAGATCATTAGTTAATAACAAAATTAAAAACGAAAACGCATACTTACAACTCACTACAGACATGCACTCTACTTATCAATATTTTAAATGACTAACATCTTTCAGCATACATTTATGCTTCAATAAGAATGGTTTTATTCAAGAACCACAAATAAAGCAATTATTTTTTAGGATAAGCAAAAACAATGCCAACAGAAATATTCTGATTAACTGATTTTCGATATCGATAAAGATAAACGAAAATTATACAACAATCAACTAATAATAATTGCACTCCATTCATTTGCTTTATTTAGGTCGTTATACTAACGTTTCATGGTAAAAATTAAGGTTAATAGCATCAGAATACTTTTATTATGCTCGCTCGTGTATTACTTGGTCGACAAAAATTATCTTATGTTAGTAATATCTGGTCGCTCGGCTAAATTAAATATTTCAAAAAGTTGTTTTTGTGTTATTTATTAAAATTAAAACAATATTTATGTTTAATTTTAGATTACTCTATACTCGATCCAATATTCTTATTCAAAATATATAAATGCAATATACAATAATACAAATTACATATATAGTCTTCTATACACTAAACTAAATTATAAATATGTATATTAAGGTGGGTAAATTACGTCTAATTGGCGATTTCAAATTTATGACTATATCGAATCTTATGATTCTCTTCACCGATCTATTCCAATAAAAATAAAAAGACAAAAATCAGAATTTATTTTTTCTATTTAAAATATAGAGCAAGCAAAGATACCTGAATAACATAATCTTTTCCAGCCGGTAAATCATTTTTCACGGTCCAAGTATGAGCAAGAGAGTTCGGGTTCACTTTATTGGAAATCACCATAATGTGATCGAGGTTTTCAGGATCACCGCGTAAGAGCTCAATCGTGGTCGAAGTCACATCGGCTTTTTCGAGTATCTTCCATTTGATTGTGGCAGGCTTTCCTTTATGCCAAACAGTTGCTGTAAATAAATAGGTAAATAAAGATTAAAAGAGCGTTTTTTTGGAATAACAAGAAGTCTAATGCTTAAAAAACCGCTTTATGCGTACAAGAAATCGGATGTGTTAGCATGTAGTCGGCACGTACAAAGACAGGGGATAAAATAATCAAAGTAGTCAAGAATTGGAAAAGTTTATTCATTGTTGATTTTCTTTTGGCTGAAAGTATATTAAATTATTTAGATTAGAAGGCTTTGACTGACTAGAGTTACAACTAACTCCTCTCTTAGTTTTATAGTAGAAAGAAGATAAATTAATCATTGAACTTTGATCTATTCTTTTTATTAATCTGATATATTTGGAGAGTTCACATAATGTTAATTTGTTGATAAATATTTTAAGCACATTTTATCATGAATCGTATTAATTTAGTGCCATAGATACAGTGGCTCACACAAGAAATAGAACACGCGATCAAATTTTATCTAATCCAAACGAAATAAGCAAGTATTCATTTTAACCTCAAAACCTCTAATATTTTAAAAATGAGAACAGATGATACAGCTTGAAAACTATCTTTTTTAATATGATCTCTATTTAAACTTCCTCAAATAATAATTACATCAATTATATCGAATATAAGTTAATGTTAAAAAGCGTTAAAAATCTACCCGATCAACATAAGATACACTCGAAGACGATATCCGGTAAAAAGCTACTTAACCAATGAAAAACGAATCCCTTTTGAAATCTCACCCCGGTGATTGCATTTGAATACATATACATGTACAGTATGTAACAAAAAAAACCGTAATGAAAAAAATTATTATTGTATTATAAATAATACACGTAACAAGATAAAAATTAGTTA